CAGTATTCTTTAGGCATCAAGAATGCTGGTAATGCGGGATCATCTTTTAAGCCACTGACACACTTTCTGCAAGTTTTCTTGCTGATGCTTCCCAAATCTTACCAAATGAAAAGGATAGAAGGTTTCCATTTGATATCAGGGAAAGATAGTTCTATTCTCAAATGATTGTTAAATCACTCATTGGTTGAAACATCACGGAACTACCTTTGTTTGCCGCACCATTAGGAGTAACAATACAGCTGACATATGCACAGCAAAGACACCGAACAGTAGTATGTTAGAATTGACTAAATACAGAATGTTCCCTGTCACTTTTCTGCCTCTCACACCCGAGTAAGATAGCATGGATCAGTATCTGCAACCCAAATGAAATAGAAAGTTAGGCACTTTGCTATAGAATCTATGTATTGAGTCCAGCCGTGCCCATGGAAATCCAACATTTATGTGTTATTCATTTACCATTTATTGAAATATGTCTATTCTACAGACACATAATTAGACAAAGTATAGGAATTTAAAGAGGTAAGTTTTGGTCACTGAGACAAAGTAGATGATCCAGCCCTTGGTTAGTGAGGGAAAGCAAACCTGCAAGCAAACACTGAAGATAATGAACTAAGGTGGTGCGGTGAGTGGTGCATGTATAAGGTATCCTGGTCACACAAAGGAGACCTCTGTGGATTCTGCTAGGGCCTGAGATGGAGAAATAGATATGAGTGCTTCAGGCAACAAAGGAGGGAAGGGTATTGCAGGAGAAGGGTACATTTTTCAAAGGAATGTTTTCTGAAAATTGAAAAATTATTTCTCTTTTTTTCTTCTTCAGACTACCTATTTATAAATTTTGTCTATTTTCTCTGGAGTTATATTCACTTATTGGCTCATAGGGACTTTTTTACATTATGGCTGTTAACCCCACTATGAATTATATATTTTATGAACACATTCTTCCATTCTGTCACTTACCCTTTGATTTTATTAATAGCAACTTTTATATTCCAACAGCTTTAAGTGTTTTCCCAGTCAAATCTGTTGATATTTTGCTTTATGGTTTCTGGGTTTTAGATTTACTTATGAAGGCCTTTCCTACCCTAAGATTATCTTCTAAAACTTACTGTAAATTTTCTTCTTTTTTAAAGAATTATTTAGCATTGTACCTGTCATCTAATTTTGAAACTATTTTACTGTAAATTGACAATTTATAATTGTATATATTTATGGAGGATAGTGATATGATTTATTGATATGAGGAATAATTAAATAAAGCAAATTAACATATCCATCACTTGAAATATTTACCATTTTTATGTGAACATTTGAAATTTACTCTCTCAGAAATTTTGAAATGTGTAGTATACTATTATTAACTATATTCACCAACCCACGCAATAGATCTCAAAAAAACCACCCTACTTATTCTTCCTGTCTAAGGCTTTATGCCCTATGACCAGCATCTCCTCAATCTTCCTAGCCCCCTGCCCCAGCAACCACCATTCTGTTCTGCTTCTATGAGTTTGTTTTAAATTCCATGTATAAGTGGAAACATGTGATATTTGTCTTTCTGTGCCTGGCTTATTTCGCTTAGCATAATGTTTCCCAGTTCCACCCTTGTTATCACAAATGAAAGAATTCTCTTCTTTTGTTAAGGCCAAATAGTATTCCATTGTATGTATAGGCACCATATTTTCTTTCTTTATTCATCTGTTGATGGACATGAGTTGATTCCATAACTTGGCTATTGAAAATAGGGCTGTAAAGAACATGGGGATGCAGGTTGATTTTAAACTGACTTCAGATCTTTGGGGGAAATACCCAGAAGTGAGATTGCTGGAGTATATGGTAATTCTACTGTTGTTTTTTTTGAGAAACCACCATATTAGTTTCAGCAATGGCTGTACTAATTTACATTCTCACTGACAGTGTACAAAAGCTCCCTTTGCTCCACATCCTCACAAACATGTATCTTTCATCTTTTTGATAACAGCCCTTCCAGCAAGAGTGAAATAATATCTCATTGTAATTTTAACTTGCATTTCCCTGGTGATTAGTGATGCTGAGCATTTTTTTCATGTATCTGTTGGCCATTTCTATGACTTCTTTTGAAAAATATTTGTTCAGCCTGATATGGTTTGGCTCTGTGCCCCCACTCAAATTTCATCTTGAATTGTAATCCCCATGTGTTGAGGGAGGGGCCTGGTGGAAGGTGATTGAATCATAAATCAGACTTACCCCTTGCTGTTCTTGTAATAGTGAGTGAGTTCTCATGAGATCTGGTTATTTGAAAGTGTGTGGCACTTCTGCCTTCACACTCTCTCTCTCTCTGTCTCTCTCCTGCCCTGCCAATGTAAGATGTGCTTGCTTCCTCTTTTCTTTCCATCATGATTGTAAGTTCCTGAGGCCCCCCCAGACATGCTTCCTATTAAGCCTGCAGAACTGTGAGTCAATTAAACCTCTTTTCTTCATAAACTACCCAGTCTCAGGTATTTCTTTATAGCAATGTGAAACAGACTAATACAGAAAATTGGTACTGGAAGTGGGGCACTGCTAAAAAGATACAGTAGCAGTGACTTGAGAACTGGGTAACAGGCAGAGGTAGGAACAGTTTGCAGGGCTTAGAAGACAGGAAGATGTGAGAAAGTGTGGAACTGTATAGAGACTTGTTAAATGATTTTGACCAAAATGCTATAGTAATACGGATAATGACGTCCAAGCTGAGATAGAAATGAGGAACTTATTGGGAACTAGAGCAAAGGTGACTCTTACTATGCTTTAGCAAAGACACTGGTGGCATTTTGCACCTGCCACAGAGGTCTGTGGAACTTTGATCTTGAGAGAGATGATTTAGAATATCTGGCAGAAAAAATTTCTTAGCAGCAACCTGTTCAAGATTTGGCCTGGCTGCTGCTAACAACATAGAGTCATGTGTGTTCACAAAGAGATGGTCTGAAATTGTAACTTACGTTTAAAAGGGAAGCAGAGCATCAAAGTTTTGAAAATTTGCAGCCTGACCATGCAGTAAGAAAAACCCAATTTCTGGGAAGAAATTCAAGCAGCCTGCAGAAATTTGCATAAGTAACTAGAAACTGAATGTTAATAGCCAAGATAATGGGGAAAATGTCTCCAGGGCATTTCAGAGGTCTTCAAGGCAGCTCCTCCCACTACAAGCCTGAAGGCCTAGAAGGAAAAAAAATGGTGGCCCAGGACCCCACTACTTTACACAGATTCAGGATGTGAAATCCTGCATCTCAGCCACTCCAGCTCCAGCTGTGGCTAAAAGGGTTCAAGCCATGGCTTCAGAAAGTGCCATGGCTTCAGATGGTACCCCAGGCCTTGGTGGCCTTCACATGGTGTTGGGCCTGTGAATGTGTAGAAGGCAAGAATTGGGGTTTGGAAACCTCTACCTGGATTTCAGAGAATGTATGAAAATGCCTGGATGTCCAGGCAGAAGTCTGCTGGTGGGGTGGAGCCCTCATGGAGAACCTCTACTAGGGCAGTGTAGATAGGGAAACGTGGGGTTGGAGCTCCCACACAGAATCCCCACTGAGGCACTGCCTAGAGGAACTATGAAAAGAGGGCCACCATCCTCCAGTCCTCAGAATAGTAGCTCCATACACAGCTTTCAGCACCAGCCTGTGAAAGCAGGGTCTATAACTTGCAGAGCCACAGGGGCAGAGCTGCCCAAGGCCATGGGAGCCATTCCTTGTATCAGCATGCCTTGGATGTGAGAAATGGAGTCAAGGGATATTATTTTGGAACTTTAAGATTTAATGACTGCCCTACCTGGTTTTGGACTTGCATGGGGCCTATGGCCTTTTTGTTTTGGCCAGTTTATCCCTTTTGGAATGGGAGCATTTATCCGATGCCTGTACTACTACTGTATCTTGGAAGTAACTAATTTGATTTTTATTTTACAGGCTTATAGGCAAAAAAATAGGGACTTACTTTGTCTCAGGTGAGACTTTGAACTGCGAACTTTTGAGTTAATGCTGGAATGAGTTAACACTTTAGGAGATTGTCACTGGACTGTTGGGAAGGCATGACTGGTTTTGAAATGTGAGAAGAACATGAAATTTTGGAGGGCTCAGGGGCAGAATGATATAGTTTAGCCCTGTGTCTCCACCCAAATCTCATTGCAAATTGTAATGCAAACATGTGGGAGGGCCTGGTGGAAGGTGACTGAATCATGAAGGTGGACTTCCTTTTTGCTATTCTCATGACACTGAGTGAATCCTCTCAAGATCTGATTGGTCGAAAGTGTGTGACACTTCCCTGCTTCGCTCTGTCTCTCTCTCCTGCTCCACCATGGTAAGACATGCTTGCTTCCCCTTCACCTTCTGCCATGACTATAAGTTTCCTGAGGCCTCCCAGTCATGCTTCCTGTTAAGCCAGTGGAATAGTGAGTCAATTAAACCTCTTTATAAACTACCCCGTATAAGGTAGTTCTTCATAACAGTGTGAAAATGGACTAATACACAGCTTCCTCACCCATTTCTTAATTGGGTTTTTGTTTTCTTGCTGTTGAGTTGTCTCTGGGTTCCTTATGTATTTTGGATATTAAACCCTTATCAGATGTGTGGCTTGCAAATATTTTCTCCTAACCTTAGGTTGTTGCTTCACACTTTTAATTATTTGCTTTGCGGTGTAGAAGCTTCTTAGTTTGATGAAATCTCATGTCTATTTTTGGCTTTGGCTGCCTGTATTTTTAAGGGCAAATCTAAAAAAATCATGGACCAGACCAATATCATGACATTTTCTCCTATGTTTTCTTTTATTTGTTTTATAGTTTCTAGTTTTATGTGCAAGATAATTCATTTTGAGTTGATTTTTGTATATGCTATGAAGCAAGCATCCAATTACATTTTTCTGCATGTGGATATCCAATTGTTCCAACATCATTTATTGAAAAGACTATTCTTTCCCATTGTGCATTCTTGGCACCTTTGTCAAAAATCAATTGATTTGAGCCTGTGTAGACATATGAAAAATTTTTAAGAAAATCAATTTACATACTTATCTGGCAGGGGGGATACCATGATCATGAAGGTGGTTTTCCCAGGGCAAGGCTTATCCATTGCACTCTGGATCTGACCCCTACGATTTCCCCAAATATGGGAAACTTGACTGCATAATTTGTGGTAGTGGGGGACTGTGTTCATGCTTTTCCCTGGTTTTAATATTTTATTTTTTATTTATTTAAAAAAAGTAAAATAAAAATAAAATCTATAAATGCATGGGTTCATTTCTGGGATCTCTATTCTGTTCCATTAGTTGATGCGTTTATTTTATGCCAGTACCATCCTACTTTATTTACTATAGCTTTGTAGTCTAGTTTAAAATTAGGTAGCATGATGCCTTTAGCTTATTCTTCTTGCTCATGATTGCCTTGGCTATTTTTGAGTTTTTGTAGTTTCATATGAATTTTAAAATAGTTTTTTCTATTTCTATGAAAAATGACATTGGAATTTTGATAGGGATTGCATTGAATCTGTAGATTGCTTTGGGTAGTGTGGATGTTTTAGCAATATTTGTTTTTCCAATCCATAAACACAGAATATCTTTCCATTTGTTTACATTTCCTTCAACTTCATTCATCAAATTTTCTTCAGTATCCAAGTCTTTCACCTCCTTGGTTATATTTATTCTTAAGTATTTTATTGTTTTTTGTAGCCATTGTAAATGGAATTAAAGAGGTTTTTTTTACATTAAAGTCTATATTAATATTTATTTTTGGATAGTATGTGAGGTTGATGTAATTTTCCCCCAATGCAAATTGAATTTAGATTTTCTGTCAGCTTTTACCAGATTGTTATTAACTCAGACAAGGATAAGCAGGCAAATTTCAATGATCTGTGCCAACAAAGAAGAGTAGTGTCACAAATAAAATTATACTATTTTTTTTAGTTTTAAGTGTCAGAAACCTGCACAAAAATAACGTTGGGAAAACATGAATTTTTTTTAACTCCCATAAAGGGCAAAAAGGGAGAGATGAATCTATGCTTCAGAATAGGTAGATTTGGGGATGTGAAAGTCATAAAAACCGAGAGGACTCAAGATGGTGCTGTGAGAACAACCCAGGATTGGAGCTCTCCTTGAATCCGCAAAGAGGTGAGTCAGAGTTGCATTTCCAGACCGATCTTTGTTGCCCACAGAACGGGGAAACTCCCAAGTATAAAAAAGACACGGGACGCCAGGCAGTAAGTCTGCCTGGCGAAGCCGGCAGCCGGGGCGGCGGTGGCCGGCCCTACCCAGCAATCCCCACAGGGCGCGCTTGTCCGGGTGCCCTGTTGAACCGGCAACCTGAGACTTGAGAGGGCTGGACTTGAGACTGAATGAGACTTGGACAGTAGGCCAGCCCAGGGGAGTGCAGGGACAGAGCGTTCGGGGTACCCAGTGGGACGAACAAAACCGCGATTTCAAACTATCCCGAGCAGACGGTCCGAGACGCTCTGTGGGGGAGGGGCGTCCACCACTACCGAGGCAACCCGCCCCAACTGAGATACACGCCCACTGCTGACGCAGCCTGCCGTTGCCGAGGCAACACACTACAATGAAGAGACTCCGCCGCAGGGCGTGGCGGAGACCACAGCAGAGCCTGCAGGAACAGGGCGAATCACACAACAGCAGGGCGGAGACTCAGCAGGCAAACAGTGGCTAGTCTGCCTCCTAGCTGGGCAGGACACCTCAACAGACATCGAAAAATAAAGCCCGAACCCCCCAACACAGAGCATTAGAGAAAAAAAGGGTTTTCTTAATGAGCTCTGTTGCAGCAGAATCAAACAGAGCAGCCTAACAGCCCTGAATGAACAACAGAGCTCACAGCTCAGCAATTGAGCTCCTAAAAAGAACAGACTGTCTCCTCAAGCAGCTCCCTGACCTCTCTATATCCAAAAGACTGACATTTGGCAGGCATCATCCTGGGACAAAGATAGCAGAAAAAGAAATGGGTAGCATCCCTCACTGTGCCACAGCTGCTAGAGGTGCACCCCAGACAAGCAGGGCCTGGAGTGGACCTCAGCAGTCGTACAGTGAAGGGGCTAGGCTGGTAGAAGGAAAACCAAGTAACAGAAATACTTCATCATCAACAATCTGGGTGTCCACTCAGAGACCCAATCGAAAAGTCAGCAACTACACAGACGACAAGTGGATAAACCCACAAAGATGGGAAGAAACCAGCGAAAAAAGGAGGAAAACACCCAAAACCAGAACACCTCACCTCCTAGAAAGGACCAAAATCCTCACCAGCAAGGGAACAAAGCTGGACGGAGAATGACTGTGATGAAATGACGGAATTAGACTTCAGAAGGTGGATAATGAGAAACTTTTGTGAGCAAAAAGAACATGTATTAAATCAATGCAAAGAAACTAAGGAACTTAAAAATAGATATGAGGAAATGATAACAAGAATGGATAACTTAGAGAGGAATATGAATGAATTAAAGGAGCTGAAAAACACAATACGAGAACTTCGCAAAGCATGCACAAGTTTCAATAGCCGAACTGACCAAGCAGAAGAAAGAACATCTGAAGTCGAAGACCAACTCAATGAAATAAAATGAGAAACCAAGATTAGAGAAAAAAGTGCAAAAAGGAATGAACAAAGTCTCCAAGAAATGTGGGACTATGTGAAAAGACCTAACCTACGATTGATAGGTGTACCAGAAGGGGACGAAGAGAATGAATCCAAGCTGGAAAATACTCTTCAGGACATCATCCAGGAAAAATTCCCCCACCTAGCAAGACAGGCCAACACTCAAATGCAGGAAATACAGAGAACACCACAAAGATATTCTGCAAGAAGAGCAACCCCAAGGCACATAATCGTCAGATTCAACAAGGTTGAAATAAAGGAGAAAATACTAAGGGCAGCCAGAGAGAAAGGTCGAATTACCCACAAAGGGAAGCCCATCAGACTCACAGCAGATCTCTCGGCAGAAACACTACAAGCCAGAAGAGAGTGGGGGCCAATATTCAACATTCTTAAAGAATAGAACTTTCAACCCAGAATTTCATATCCAGCCAAACTGAGCTTCAGAAGTGAAGGAAAAATAAAATCCTTTGCGAACAAGCAAGTACTCAGAGATTTTGTCACCACCAGGCCTGCTTTACAAGAGCTCCTAAAAGAGGCACTACACATAGAAAGGAACAACCAGTACCAGCCATTCCAAAATCACACTAAATGCTAAAGAGCATCAACATAATGAAGAATCTACAACAACTAACAGGAAAAACAGCCACTTAGCATCAAAATGGCAGTATCAAATTCACACATAACAATATTAACCCTGAATGTAAATGGACTAAATGCACCAATCAAAAGACACAGACTGGCAAATTGGATAAAAATCCAAAACCCATCAGTGTGCTGTATCCAGGAAACCCATCTCACATGCAAGGATACACAAAGGCTCAAAATAAAGGGATGTAGGAAGATTTACCAAGCAAATGGAGAGCAAAAATAAAAGCAGGAGTTGCAATTCTCATCTCTGATAAAATAGACCTTAAAGCAACAAAGATCAAAAGAGACAAAGAAGGCCATTACATAATGGTAAAAGGATCGATAAAACAAGAAGAGCTAACGATCCTAAACATATATGGACCCAATGCAGGAGCACCCAGATACATAAGGCAAGTTCTTAATGACTTACAAAGAGACTTAGACTCACACACAATAATAGTGGGAGACTTTAACACTCCACTGTCAATATTAGACAGATCAACCAGACAGAAAATCAACAAGGATATCCAGGGCTTGAACTCAGAACTGGAGCAAGCAAACCTGATAGACATTTACAGAACTCTCCACCCCAAATCCACAGAATATACATTCTTCTCAGCACCACATCACACCTACTCTAAAATTCACCACATAATTGGAAGTAAAGCACTGCTCAACAAATGCAAAACAACTGAAATCATAACAAACAGCCTCTCAGACCATAGTGCAATCAAGTTAGAACTCAGAATACAGAAACCAACCCAGAACCGCACAGCTTCATGGAAACTGAACAACTGGCTCTTGAATGTTGACTGGGTAAACAATGAAATGAAGGTAGAAATAAAGAAGTTCTTTGAACCCAATGAGAACAAAGACACAACATGCCAGAACCTCTGGGACACATTTAAAGCAGTCTCTAGAGGAAAGTATATAGCAATAAGTGCCCATATGAGGAGAATGGAGAGATCCAAAATTGACACCCTATCGTCAAAATTGAAAGAGCTACAGGAGCAAGATCAAAAAAACTCAAAACCCAGCAGAAGACAAGAAATAACTAAGATCAGAGCTGAACTGAGGGAGATTGAGACACGAAAAACCCTTCAAAAAATCAGTAAATCCAAGAGCTGGTTTTTTGAAAAGATCAACAAAATAGACAGACCACTAGCCAGAATGATTAAAAATAAAAGACAGAACAACCAAATAGATGCAATAAAAAATGATAAAGGGGAAATCACCACAGATTCCACAGAAATTCAAACCATCATCAGAGAATATAACAAACAACTCTATGCACATAAACTAGTAAACCTGGAAGAAATGGATAAAGTCCTGGACTCCTGCGTCCTCCCAAGCCTAAACCAGGAGGAAGCTGAAACTATGAATAGACCAATAACAAGGTCTGAAGTGGAGGCAGCAATTAAGAGCCTACCACACAAAAAAAGCCCAGGTCCAGACGGGTTCACAGCCGAATTCTACCAGACACACAAAGAGGAGCTGGTACCATTCCTTCTAAAACTATTTCAAACAATCCAAAAAGAGGGAATACTTCCCAAATCATTTTACGAGACCAAGATCATTCTGATACCAAAACCCGGCAGAGACCCAACAAGAAAAGAAAACTTCAGGCCAATATCCATGATGAACATAGATGCAAAAATCTTCAATAAAATATTGGCAAGCCAAATGCAACAGCAAATCAAAAAACTTATTCACCATGATCAAGTAGGATTCATCCCGGGGATGCAAGGCTGGTTCAACATACGCAAGTCTATAAACGTAATTCACCACATAAACAGAACCAAAAACAAAAACCACATGATTTTCTCAATTGACGCAGAGAAGGCATTTGACAAAATTCAACAGCCCTTTATGCTAAAAACCCTCAATAAACTCGGTATCGATGGAACATATCTCAAAGTAATAAAAGCTATTTATGACAAACCAACAGCCAA